GAATTTTGTGCAACCTTGTATTATTTTAAAAGTGACAACTTGTGGGCAATGGTCCTGCATTTTTTTCTCAGTCTGTTAAATGAGTAATTGAAGTAATTGGCCACTGTTCAATGAAAGAATTTATCACTACTGGTTAATAGATTTATGTAGGTGTTTAAGCTATTAGTGAAATTTTATTTAAGTAATGTTAATATTCAAGACCAATTCTTTTGATCTTTCTTGTGTAGAATTTTTACAGATATGATGAAAAAGTAAGAAAATCTAACCCATCAATTTTCTTGATGTTTAGTATTTTTTTTAAGTGAACCAATGTAATAGTATGTATTTTCAGCGTCAGTTCTTTATTTTACCCTATGTAGACTTGGAAGGGATCTAAATAAAATGTTCCATTGAATAAAAAATAGGTATGATTATGGATCAACTTGATCTTAAAAAAATGTACATCCCTTTTCAAGTCCCATGTTGTGAATTTCTCTTCTTTCTGAAGTTTAGCTTATCATCTGGCTATAAATTATATGCATAGGAGGTACACTTAATTGTTTCAGTTCATTTAAAAAGTAGTTATTTAGAGTACTCTCCTAGCGAAATTATCAATTGGAAATTAAGGGATTTGAAGAAACCCTTTGGAACACTGGCTTTTAGCCTGTCTCTTAGGCACAGGCAGAAATAAATCAGTTGTTTCTTTTTACTTGTTTGCGTATTCTCAGTAATAAGGTGAACACATGACTGATGGCTTGTTGTATGGATTATAGGACATATGAACATAAATCATTTTCTTCCTCTTCTTTGTCTAGGGTGCTATACTTAACCATATACTAAGTAAGTATCTTAAATACGTATAGAACTATGTTTATTTGGTCACTGCATTTTGTTAAATCAGTGTGTAAAAGACCATATACATATATAGCTTTTTTATTATTTACATCTGTATCCATTATGAATCTGATGCCTAGGAAGTTGTATTTAGTAAGAATCTAATTAAACAATCAGGTTTCCTTTTATCTTATAGATGGAATTCATTTTATCTCATTTAAAATTGTAATTTTAGAATGTCCTATAGTGTTAATGTGTACAGTATTTATTAGATGTTTAAAGGATACTTCTTTAAGCATCCAGTTTGCATTAAAAACTTTCATAGTGTTTCCTTATAGGTTAGTTTTATATTCTCTTTTAATATTTTAAGACATTGTCTTTCTATTTAATATATGTGCTGTTGGTATAATAGTTTGTTTTTATTACATAGATATTTGTGTTATTTAATAAAGTATATTGTGTTATATCACTACGATTTGTGGATCAATGACTGCTTTTGCAAAAGATTTTTAAAACATTTTATTCTCTATTTTGATAAATTAAATATGTACTACATTATGTGCTGCAAGTATGTGTTTCCAAATATATGTTAGAAGTAGAGGTAGAGACCATAAATAATAATTTGGTCAATAACTACTTCAACTCTATTTCAGCTAAGTAGCAGAATGATTGCAGACCCTTATGAGTTTCTGATTTTTGAGTTTTTTAAATGATCTAAATTTGTAACACACCCAAAACTTGTTGGTTGACAAAATTTGCTAAGATTTACAAAATAGTGTGTGTGTGCATGAAATAAGTAATCCACTATTTTTACCATCTACATTGTTCTTCAGTTTCTATGATTCTTAATGGTATCTCTTACATTTGTCTGTGGTATATTAATTCTTGCAAATTTTCCTTAAGTTCACTTGTATTATTCAGGATATTTTTGTTACCAGCACATAAAGATCTCTTCAATTCAATATTCTAGTGTAGAAACAATCAGATTTTTCCCACATGGAAATAATTTTCGTCATTTCTAGAAAGAGCTTATATTTGTATATTTGTTTATTAATAGAGCTATTGATTTCAAGATTGGGCTATTTCTTTTGTTTTTGTTTTTCCTCTCCTGGATTTTGGCAGTTCCTAAGTGTATTAGCCACTCCTTTTTGCTATTTAGTCTTGGAAAATTGCAGTTTTTATTTACTGGTGAGTGAGTTATAACTTGAGAGAACTCCCATATCACCCCCTAATTCTGACAAGCAAATTCTGCTTTTCCTCTTGGACCCGTCACAAGTACATTAGAGTTCCATATGTAGACTAAGTCATTCCAAAAAATATCACTAATAAAGGAATCAATAAGGATTAGGTCATTTCCAAATGACATATACTTCAATGTTATCTTCTAACAAATCTAGCATATAAAACCTTTATTTTTCCCATTTGCATTTTTTATTGAGCTGAAAGATAACTGATTTTACAATTAATTTAAGTCAACTACAAATTGGAACTATATCAGTGTTGCAAACTTGTTCTTAATTTATTAGCTGGAAACAGATATACCAACAGGAATTACCTTATGTACATGAACGTGAAAAATAATGAATTATGATTCACTTTTATATTCATCGCGGTGTTTGACTCGAGTTATACACTAGAAATCATAATTTGCAAGCTATTATGACACAGAGTTATAAAGTAAATATGGAGTAATTAGGTTGTAATTTGATATGAACCAGGAAAACATTAATCCCAAAACTCTTCACCTGTCAAGAGCCCAGATTATTGGCAAAATGAACTATAAGGAACATTGCCTGAAAACCTGAAGTTAAGCAAAAAAAGACTCTATTTAGCCCAAATTGAGTCTATGTACTTAATTCAGTAGAAGTTCTCATTTTCATATCTTTTTACTATCAATTTGCATAGTCTTCGTAAGTTTAGTGATCTGGTTTCTGAATCCACAACAAATTATTGCTGAGGAAATGCTGCTTAGAAAAATTCACTGACAATATCAGAAAGCAGTGGCTGATACTTTTCAAGCAAGCAAGGACCCTGAAAACCTGATACAAGAATTCAGCAGAACAGCAGACTGATGACACGCACTCCAAACACAGAAGGCTGGCACAGAGTTAGACACGTAGCAGCATCCGTTGCATGTACTCGTGTCCCTGAGATGACAAAGAGTAAATTATGTTTAATGTATTTTCTTGATGAAGCAAAGAATGTGATTCTTTTTAAATTTCCCATCAAAGATGATTGAAATACTAGTTTTCATGCTTGAAAGGATATGCCTTCAGGTATCTAGAAATCTTAACCTTCTCATAAACTCAGAAATACTTGTACTTGAAGATTCCTATAACCATATGTTTAATGTATTTGAAATTTTAACTATTGAAAGGTAAATAAGTTGAATAGAGAAGAAAGAAGATAAAATTGTGTGGGCTTACCATTTAGTCTCTATGTTACATTGGATGTTAGCTATATATCATCTATTACTTTTTCTTAATGCCAGAACAACAGGTATTTGAACATTTTAGTTGCTTTTAAATATATTTTTGGATAGTTTAGTTATAATATTGGCATAGTAAATAAAGTACTATTATTCCTATTTGATTTTATTTTTCCTATAGCTGGAATTATCATAGTAAACTTTTTTTTCAAGTCCATATCTTAAGTCTAAAAGAAGAGTTTTAGAAGAATACATAAGCGTATTTGGTTCATAAGGAGAAAGTTGTAGAGGAAGAAATACATAAACTTATGACATATAATTGTGTTTTAAACTTCTTTATACCTGAAAACTCAGCTAAGTTGCTACTTTTCTACAACTCTTGATGCCCAAAATGGGTCTTGGGGAGATTGGGTTTTGTAGCATGGCATGAAATTTTTACTATAAATATAGATTTGTAGTACCCTTTATGTGATAGTTTATAAAAATCAATTGTTTTTCTTTGTGTGTTATTTATAACAATAGCTCCTTCCCCCTTTTTCTAATCAAGATTATTGAATAGTAATTTTGCATTTTATTCAAGTAAAATGTCCTATAAATTTTTCCTCTTGGTTTCTTAGTTGTGGATTTCTCAACTTTTTAAGTTTTAAATCACTAAGAGAAGTGATATATAAAGAGAACCTGACAGGTTGGTTTAGAGAAAGTATTATTTTTTTTAATTTAAAAAAAGAGCAACAAAGAAAATGAAAAATATAATCTTTCCTATAAGATGTATACATCTTTGTTATTTGTTGTTAAATTTGGTCTTGTTATTCCAACTGATGCAAAATTCTTTTTACAAAACACTGAAATAATACAGATCTTTCTTCATTGTCAGCAGGATGAGATTGTCTGAAACGAAGAATAGGTATGATAGTTTTCTTAGATTTTGTACATCATAGGTGGCAAAGACACTATCAAAATATTTGTTAATAAGCTTTAAAATGTACTAAGAGGTACTTTGAAAAACCAAATGCACTGAGAGAAAGTGACAGATAAATTTTGAGAAAATTTATATTTGAGAAAATAATATGAAATTCTTAGAATGTTTTTTATTTGCTGTAGATTGTGTTAGCATGCTATAAACATTAGAAAGTTTATTTACAATCTACCTTAATTTGGAGAAAGAGAGTGATAAGGTATAACTTGTATAGAATTAATTATAGCTTAATGTAGCCTAGTAGAATTCTTTGCCTAGTAGAATTCCTTAGAGTTCTAAAATTTTTTAAATAATCACAATGTATTGGATTGAATTCATTATGTTGAATTATATATCTTATATTATCAAATGTTTTTAAACTATCTAATGGGCAAATGATTAATTCTTGAAGTTCAAAATTAAAATTGTTGTGTTTGTTAGTTTTGAACACATATGGCTATACACATACATTCATTTATAGGCTCTTAACATTTCTACTATCAAAATGTTCTGAATGATATTTGTTTTGTTTGTTAATTTTATTGTTTGGTGTATTTTGTTGTTCTAAGACATTTATTTCAGGTTTAGATTGAAATGAGTGTCATCTAAGGTTTAGAAAATCTAAGGTTTAGACTGAAATAAGAAAGACAAATAGTCTTTGTCATAAACATTAGTTTAATAATCTTGTGAGCTAAGATAGAATTAACAGCGTTAAAGCTGAAATGTACAATACTCTGCCATTTGTCTTTGAAAAAGTTGTTTTTGATAGTATTTAGATATACCATAAATCTGTTTACCCTGCAGGTGTGATGAATGCAGACTGTGCTACCATTTTGGCTGTTTGGATCCTCCTTTGAAAAAATCTCCTAAACAAACAGGCTATGGGTGGATATGTCAGGAGTGTGATTCTTCATCTTCTAAGGTAAGGGGGGAAAAAGCCTATAAGAAAAAGTGCTGTTTCCCTTCATTTTCATAGCTTTTCTATATCATACCATCAGCTTCCTAACTTTAAAGAGAACTGGAATATGAAGGACCAACATTTTAATCTAATTTACTTTAAGAATGTATTACCTTGGTGATTTTATTGCCCTTAAATTAAGGAATAAACAGCCCTACTAAATTATATAAATTTCCTCTAAGGAATAATTTAGCTATTTTGTGTATTCTCTGTGTTACTGTAGCATATTCAGTAGTGCTCTAGTAGCCCAAAGAAGTCACCCTCTGCTAACTTTCCGCACCTAGGGAATGATGGCAGGGCAGTTCTGCCTTGAGTCAAAGAAATTTGTTTTGACAAGTATATATATATGTGTGTGTGTGTGTATATATGTGTATGTGTATCTATATATATGTATGTGTATATATATACATGTATGTATATATATAAATGTTAACCAACAGAATAACCAAAAAAATCCAATTTTATTTTGTAGATGACTCATCTTAAGATATAATAAGTATACTGTGAATGTTTTATAAGGTCTGTTCTTTTATAAAACTAGTTTTTATATCCTAAAATTTATTTTTGATGTTTATTTTAGCTGAGTAGAAAGGATGAAATTTCTGATAAAGTTGTTTAATAGTTTATCTCCAAAAATAAACTACTGAAATTATGTCTTTTGAATATCAATATTATAACCTTAAATTGTGGTAATATACAGTTTAAGATTATTGTGTGTGTGTGTGTTTTTAAGTGTGTGAGTGAATAGCTAGACTCCTGATGCTTTAACTCATTTGACAGAAATATTGAATATATTTGAACTAAAACATTCTGGTTAGCTGTATTAATCAAATTGTTCTTCCTTAAATAGGCAATGGAAATTAACTGTCTATAGTAATATGAACATCAAGGCATCTTTCTTAAATGCATTTGTCTGTGCTAGAGTGAATTAAAATTAATACTGAATTTCTGTCTGATCAGGGAATCAAAAATATTCTTTTTATCATTAGTTAAAATGATTTGTACCAGGTTACCACAGAGGCCATTAGTAAAAGTTTATTTATTAAAAAATGCAGAAAGCATTTGGTTATAGAAAAAAACTATTTAAAGGTTTTTTAAATAACCAAATTTATTAAAAATTTTATGTATTTGTATACCGATTATTAAAATAGAATATACTATGCATTTTATTTAATAATCAAGCATTTTTGCCCCATGTTTTAAACTGTATAATATCAAGAATTATTTTCCATTCATTTTATTATGACCCAGATTTAAGAGGGAGCATATTTAATATCAAAAAGTTTTATTACATGATTAAAAAATACTTTCCAAAAATTGTATTTAAATGAAAAAAATAGTGGCATACTATTGATTTTAAATAGTTGTCTTATGGGACTCCTTGTGGTATAATATAATTTTTCTAAGTGCGATTTTTTGTTTGGAGTTTCCTCCTACCCTCAATGAGCAAGTTAGGAAAGCAATTTTTGAAAAAGGATTATTTCCTTTTATAAATATGCCTTTTTGCATATATTCTTTTGCAAAGGCTCTTTACCACCACAAATATTGCATTGTATTAAATGCAAAGAGTGATTTTATTAAGTTATATAGTAATTTCATTAATGAATATTGAAAATGCAAGGGGGCATATTTTACATATTTGAGAGCATATTATACATTTTTTAAATGCGGTAGGTGCCAGTGGCTCTTGAGAAGGGTAAGGAGTTTTTGTTTTTGTTTTTCCCTCTCTAGCAGAGAATAGATCTTTGGACTCTGAAAGGAAATCCATTAGGAAGGCACATTGTTAGGAAACTTTCATTGTATTTGCTGTACTCTGACCTGTGATTAACTAACAGATACAAACAACCAACATTTTCAAAATTTCATCCAAATATGGTATCTAATTTTTGGAATGTCACAGCAGTTTACTGTAAGGATTACATCAGTGAAATGAATTTGTATTTTTATCATACCAACTTTATATTATATACTTCTTTTTTTCAATGAAAAATTGAATTTAATGTAATAATTAAGCTGAAAGTTAAGGAAACTTAATTCATTCCCTTGAATATTTGTGTTGCACTAATTCTGTTTTGCTCACTTTTTAAGACTTCCATCCTGACAAGCAGGTAGTAAATTTTCTGTTTACATTTTCTCTTGAGAGATGTTTGCTAGTATTGAGTCCCAAGAAGAAAGCATTGATAGATAATATCATGTTCTGTAATTCAGTGAATTGCTGCAGAAACTTTAAATTAAGAAAGCAGTATATTATTAACATCGGAGTCAAGAAAATATTATCTTAAGACCTAAAAGAATCCCAGAATGAAAGTTGACATATTTTGCTTATACTTCATTTTCCTCTGTTTGCTTTGGTAGAATGTTATTTGTTAGGTAATACTGGGTATATTTGCCATGTTCATACATTTTAATGATTTGAAAAGCTAAGATAGAAGTAGTTATTTCCAGGAGAAAAGGAAGTGAATCTGTTGCCAGTAAATTTAGGTGGGGGGAAGTGAATGTAAAATTGTTATAGCCATAAAATATATATCCAGCTTCCTTTCCCTGGGGTAGTCAGGATTATCAAGTTCAAGAAATCTTAACTTTTATTATAAAAATTAACTCACAAATAAGAAATTATTTATTTTGCTTAGAATTTTAGATAATACAGGGTAGGGGTATATAGTTGAATATGTGCTTGAAAATGCATTGCACTTTAAACATTATTTAACTGTTAACATTATCTCCAAATTTTGCATACCAAAGGAAACTCTAAAATATTGCCATGTATACTCTCAGCAGCATGATATATTTATACGTGACTTTGTCTTTCAAGTAATAGGTTTTTTGCTGTGGGCTTTATGAGGGCAAAAATCTTCTGTCCCTAATCTGCCTTTTACTTTTATAGAAATTCCACAAAAGTCTTACAAGATTCATCATACGGAAATCCATAATTTTAAGTTTTAGCACATGTAAGATAAAACAGACCTAAGTTTAGTTAATTTTAATAATATTAATTTAATAACAATTACCTAAAAGTGGAGTGACTGTTTTTGAGATATAATTGACATATATCAACATATTAGTTTCAGGTGTACAACATATTGATTTGATATTTGTATATAGAATGACTTTTTATTCTATCCAAACCCATGAAGTATGGCTTGATAAGACTTTCTCTGCTGTATCAATCCTTCGTAAACCTAGCTAGTCACTTTAGGTTTCGTGAAAAATGACCAGCTCCATGGACACAGATATGTGCATATACATGTACACACACGGAGACACAAATCCGTACACGTGGAAACACACACACACACAACATACCTTCTCTCATAGGCTATGCTTCAAAGACATTTGACTAAGGCAGCAGCTATCCAGGCAGTGAACTGTGTTTATATTTAATGGAGCTAGTTCATTGCTACCTATCACCATGCATTAGGGTTTTTTCCCTGCTCTTTAACATGTTGTGAAAATACTATTGCTAATGAATGCTGTAAGTCTGGAAAAGTAATGTATTTTATTCTTCCCCTCCACCTCACTCATCTCTTGTTTTTTCTTCCATCTCTACTTCCATCCATTAGCTAAAGCCAAATACCTGGAATAATCTTCAAGCCTTCCCCATCCTTGTCCCATATAGAAAACCATTTCTTGAGTCCTCTAAAAGTTTTCTTTCTTAAATGTTTCTCCAGTCTTCTCTTTGCTCCTTTTCTTCACTGCTACTGCCTTGATTCAGTGCCTCACTTTTTCCTCATTCTATCAGTTACTCTTATTTTAGAAGCTGTCTAAATAGTGCTGTCAGACTTATCTCCCCTTTCATCCATTCTCTTCACTGGAGGCCTCCAAAATGAAGTGTTTGCACCGGGAGATAAACAAGATGACTAATTAAATCAACTTAATTGTATATAACGTTTCATGTTAATTTCTATGTCTGTGTTATTATTTTATAATGTAAATAATATATTATTACTATAGAACAGGACTATAACTTCACACATATGTACTTATGTTAAGGTACATATTTAAAATATTTTTAGTGTTGGGGTTCATCAACAAAAATATTTGGAGACCATAGTCCTATACTGCTATTAGAGTAATCTTTCAGAAGGTGTATTTGTCACACCTCTGCTTTACATCTGTCAGTGTTTTTCATCCTCCTACATACTCAAAACAAAACCAACAAAATCAGGAAGTTAACGTTGATACATTATTACCATCTGATCCTTAGACCTCACTCAAGTTTTGCCATTTGTCCCAGCAATGTCCTTTATAGCAAAAGGATCTAGTACAGAATCATTCATTGCATTTCGTTTTCATGTTTCGTTAGTCTTTAATCTGGGCAGTCCCTTAGTCTTTCCTTGACTTTCATTACCTTGCCACTTTTGAAGATCTACAGGGCAGTTGCTTTGTAGAATGCCTTTCACTTTGCATTTTTCTGATCTTTTCTTGTGGTTATATTCATTTTATGCATCTTTGCTAAGAATATCACTGATGTGATGCATTATGCACTTCTGTCAGTTGACACATGGTTTTGATTTGAGCTGTCGATGGTGATGTTAACTATAATTACTTGACTAAGGAGTTATTTGCAAGTCTTCTCCATTCTCTTCCCATTTCTAATTAATAAGTAATTTATGGGGAAGAACTTTGAGACTATATAAATATAGAAATATTAATATATGTAAGTATATATATATAGGATATATAGCTATCTTATTCCTTCTCAAACTTTCATTTTCTCTTTTGTTCAGTGGGTTATATTGGTTATCATCATTATTTATTTTGATGTTCAAATTGTCCCAAATTTGGCTAATGGAAGCTACTTCATGCCAGCTTCTGCCATTTCAGCCTGGCATCTGTGTCCTTTTGACATGATCCCAGTAATTTTTGAGTACTTCCTTACTAAAGATGTTCCAGGCTCAACTTATGCTTTTCTTTCCTGGACCCAGCCGTTTCTCCAAGGAGCCCTGGTTCCTTTTAGTGGAGAA